CACGCGGGACAGCAGAAACAGGCTGAAGCTCTGGGAGGAGCCCCAGAGGGCGTAGGAAGCCATCAGCCCCACCTGGAGGTGAAGGACAATCGGTCGTCATTAGCCATGTGTCTCAAAAACAAAGCGTAGTGAACCAGGCAGCTTTGTCACTTAAGGAAGGGAACTAATGGCTCCTATTTAAATTTCCAGAAGAGATCCTGCTGTCCTACTCTGGATCTGACAGATTGAACAAAAATATTTAGGTTGTACAAATCAATGTAGGGTATAAAGTATAAAATCCAAGCATACAAACAGATTTCACCACTACATTTTAAATAAAATACAAATTTCACATGAAAATATTTTTTGGTAAATTAATTATTATATGAATTTCTTGCAGTTAATATTAGGTAAGAAATCCTAGCTGGAAATACAATATGTAAAAATGAATGCATTCTTTTTGAATGTCTAAGGTTTCTAACTTTGCATTTCTGTTTACAAGCTCACTTCTGTAAACAAAAATCCATTGAGATGTTTACTAGGACCAAAGGGTTGGTTTACTTCGACCAAAAGGTTGATTAGATTTATGGGGTATTCCCATGCATTCTTAAAATCTCATTTTGGCATACACAGGAGAAGAGGAAACAAACTGGTACAAACAGGTTTTATAAACTTTGACTGAAGAGCTTCAATTATATACAAAAGATACAACAGATGCTATGTATTAAACACTGGTGGCTAACCGTGGTCAACATCAGCAGTGGTTTCCTCCCATAGCAATCTGATGCTGCACCAGTGAGGGGTGAGGACAGGAATTGCAGCAAAGAGAAGAGCGATCCAATCAGGCCTGAGTAGTAGAACACAGAGAGAACAAGGCATTGCTTGCAGATTGGACCAGGTCAATTTAAAATGGCAGAAAGTAACTGTGATAAACAGCAGCAGAACAGAATATTTATGAAATTCAATTCTCCACATTTTCTTCATAACGAAAGTCCCACTGAACAAGGGGTGACAACACAGCGGCATATACATTCTATAGCCTTACACATCACAATAAATCTCTACATACAAGACAACCTGAAACTACTAATTAATTAACCACTATGTAGAGGTGGAGATTTCAGGTTCAGAGAGTACAAATCCAGACCAGGATTTTGTTTCAACCATACAGTTGAGTATAAAGACTCACAGTCACAGAGTACTCAACTGGTCGGTTGAAACAAAATCCTGGTCTGGATTTGTACCATTTGGACCTGAAATCTCCACCTCTGCCACTATGTAACAGGTTGACTTCCAGAATCCAAAAGTAGATCACTCAAGTTAGTAAGTGAAAGACAATCTGAACACGGGGTATCTAGGACTGGATCTGGGTGACCCCTTTTCCACATAATCAATGCGACAAAATTTGAAATATTCTGTTAATATGTGAGAAACATTCTGGGCAGTGAAAAGAAGGACAGGATCACATTGATTTTTCACTGCTTACCTCCAAACAGCACGCCATTATATTTAGTTCCAACGGGAGCACCAATAGCTTCTCTAAACCAGTTCACTAGGCTCTGGAGCGAGTGATACACACTGTCCTGTCGGGTGCAAAAAAAGGTGCAAATGAAGCAGCTCCTTCACTCAATGAACAGAGCAAATAGAAAATATTCACTCCCATGGTAGCACTGTGTCGAAGCCCTGAAGCAAGGCCTGTAAAGTCAGAAAGACCTACATGGGAAAAAGTAACTAACAGTCTGATGATCTGTTCATCTACATTTATGTCATGCATCTAGTGGAAACAGCTAAAGGGCAGCTTGAATCCAGTGCAATGAAGACCGGCTTCACTGTCGTCTTAGGTACAGCTTCACCACGGACCAACCTCAGAGAAGCCACTTACATCACTGCCCAACTGTATTTCCATCCACCAGTGGTCTGTATCTCACCCCAGCCGGGTTGCAAGCAAGGCTACAACAACTGGGTAAAACAACCCAGGCTCTTACCTCTGTCCGTCCATAGTGGTCAAGTATGGAGGGCAGAAGAGGCAGGATGAGGGTGAACCCCAGCAGGTCCAGAAGAAGGAGGACAAAAACGACAGTGATGATCCTGGAGGAGCTGCTTTCTGCTGTGTTCTTCATCCTAGTATCTTAAAGAGAAAAAAATGCATCAAGTTAGGATGACGACACTCTTCTGTACTTAACACTTTCCTAAGTGGAGCTTCTTAATGTTAACTGGATGTTAGTCACTATTAAAACTACAAGCAATACGTAACAGCAGCCAGTCATATGACTTAAGATACTAACGTGTCCATCATCCGTAAAGTCAGCAGGAACATCAGACAGAATTGCAACACAAGTTTTCATAACACTGAAGCCACTGTTCTGCATACTAAGTTTAGATCAGTAACCTGGGTAAAACATTACTTTAATATAGCGCAAAACACCCCAAAACACTTAATTACTCTTAAAAAAATCAATTTTTATTCCAAAATCTTGGGAGCTACATATCACAGTCAGTGTAATCCAATAAATCACAGGACGCATATCCAGTATATTTCTCTTTGATATTTTTTCCTGGTCTGTCGTTTCATTGTGCCACATTTTACGTTAAAGTCCACACTAAAAACGAGGCATCGCAGTTTTCATTGGTTTGCATACGACTGAAAAGGAAGGATAAGATACGCGCAGGGACACAGGCTCACGCCCGGACGGCAGCCCCCGGCTCCGCGGTGGTGCGGAAGGGCTCAGCCTGCACATGAGGCCGGCTTTCGCTTTACCTTTCCCCGCCGGAGCCTGTCTGCGCCTGAGCTGTCGCACCGCCGCACGGCTTGATGGCGAACACCTTTCGCCATCTCCTAACCAGGAAGCGGTTTCGTGTTTCAGCGGCAATGACAGGAATCCCACGCATGCGTTAAAAAAAACCACCGATGAATCGTTAAAGACGCACAGATAAACGGAAGTAAACGGGGCTTCAGTTCCGTGATCAGAAACGGGGGCGGTTGAATTAAAAGTTAGGAGTTAATCTAACTGAGGCCGTCTGAACGACCGAGCATAAATTACTGCATCATCAGGAGGAGATATGGAGGATCAAGCCGGCGAGATGCAATCTCATTCATAGTTTTAATGCATTATTTAGTTTACTCTTTAACGGGGTGTAAATAAACATTTCAGGTATTCAAGAAAGTATGTTCGGTTTTTGTACTTATTGGTACGAGCCATTAACATTTTAAGTATATTCCGTATTCCAGTGGTATCCGCATTTTATTGTCTGTTTGGATCAAATGTGCATTAGCGCAGTAATTTGTTTCCACTTTGTGCTTGTCTCTTCCCTTTAAAGTCGTGTAAGACCTTAGTATTTTCATATGGCGTAGGGGCGCCATTAATATAGATCCCTTGCGCTCTCTACAGTTTATTTTGTTCTCAGGAAGTTCGTTATACCACTCGATGTCAAACACAAACCCAACGAATTGCTGATTATCAAGGTTTAAGGATTAGGCAAGTATTTTACATCTGCGAAGTGCAGAAAAGCGGGGCTAATCATCTATGTATGATTAGGCAAGAGTTTTATAAGGCAGAGCAAATTTACTTGCAAATTACCTGGAGTAACGGCAATGAGAATTTTACTCTAATATAAGTTATAATATTACTATGTATCACATCCATTATAGGGTAACGGAAAGCCAAGACCCAGTTCGAATCCCTTCTAACCCGGACATTACAAAACAACTAGTTTGCTATATTTATGATCAATTCAAGAAGTTTAGTAGCTGAAGATTTTGGAGCATTCTTCTTAACAGCAGTGCCATCTAGTGGGAAGAAGTTGAACTACTGCAACAAAACCCATTCACACCCCAGCTGCCTGTTCCAGAGTAGAATACAATAGCCACTTTTATTGTCATTCAGAAATACACGGGTTAGTGCACAACAGAATGAAATTTCGTTACATTTTATGCTCACCATCGGCATCCAGTGTGTAAAATAGAAATAGAATATAAGTGGAACTAACATATATTAACCGCAGTATAGCAGTAAAAGAACAACATTGTACATCACCATATCAGTTTAGTGCAAGACATATAGTGCATAAAAAGTGACATGTGCATGGATGGAGAGAGGCGGAGTGTGGGGAGGGGGGACTGGGGAGGGGCTGTCATGAGCCCCCACACCCCAGCTGCCTGTTCCAGAGTAGAATAGAATAGCCACTTTTATTGTCATTCAGAAATACACGGGTTAGTGCACAACATAATTAAATTTCGTTACATTTTATGCTCACCATCGGCATCCAGTGTGTAAAATACAAATAGAATATAAGTGGAACTAACATATATTCACCGCAGTATAGCAGTAAAAGAACAACATTGTACATCACCATATCAGTTTAGTGCAAGACACATAGTGCATAAAAAGTGACGTGCATGGATGGAGAGAGGCGGAGTGTGGGGAGGGGGGACTGGGGAGGGGCTGTCATGAGCCCCCACACCCCAGCTGCCTGCTCCAGTGATACATTGTTACAATTTGAGTTCAGTTGTGAATTTAACGGAATCAGTGGCTGCAGTGCAGTTATATATGGTGTGCATGCAGGTAAAGCACAACCATCTTAGTTTGATGAAGGTATTTTATATATACATATATAATATACAGCTCTGGAGAAAGACGACAGCACAGTTTTTTGTTTCACCTATTTCTCAATTTATGGCTGTGCCTCTGTGTAAAATGTAGGCCTATATTTTTTTGCAAACTCCAGCCTGGCTCGTCCCTGCTTTTCACTGATGAAGGGCTTCTTCCTTGTTTATGGGTCTTCAGCAGGCACGTGCAGGGTGGAGGGGGGCTTGACCACCTGCCCCTTTCCTCTTGGGTACCCCATGTGCCCTTTTCTTGAGGCATTTTATTATTATTTTTTTATGTGTGTGTGCGTGTGGAGTCCTGCCTGTGCCCCTCAACAATAACATTTAACTATTAGTCACAATTTTGCTAAATAAAAGGATCTGGCTTGCATCAGTCACATGATGACCATTAACCAATGCTCAGCCTTGACGGCAGAGCGCGCTGGTTACGAGCCGGGAACGAGCTGGCAAAGAGCACGCGCATTTTTTGCCAGCTGGGCGGTGCGGAGCTGTAAGGGAAACACACAAATTAATTGGGAGACGCAGACTGATGCAACAAAAACCAGTAAGTAGGGTGTACAGCGTACACTATAGTCTATAGCACACAAGAGTATTAGGTTATTATGTACACGTTGTTAAATTGTCTTGTGGCAACTGACGAATTGAAACAAATGAGCATGCTGTGTGTGCACAGTGTGCAACAGCGCGAGGAAACATTACCTGTCCTTTTATTAACTGCGCAAGTAGTGGTGGTCATTAGCCGCTAGCTAACTGGGTAAGGGTGTCATGGGTCTGTAACTCTGTCCACCGTTTTAGGGAACATATTTCGTTTTAAAGTAAGTTACAGGGCTTTTCCCTGCCTTTCTGGAGGGCTTATATTTCACTAGAAAGTTTTTTGCCCTACTAATATTCCGGTTTCAGTTTATTTCCCACAGTTTTTTTTAATCCGTTGCCTTAAGGTTCCAAGCGCTGTCACCAATCTTTGCATTTTATTATTATCTCACAGCACTTGTTTAATCAGCTACCATCTCTCCTATGGACTTTTTAATGTCTACAGTCTTAGATCAACACAGCCCTGCCGTCCAGCTCTATCAGCAGTAACCCCTCAACAACAACATTGTGCCCCATCAGGTAAAACATATATAGGCTACGTTTGCTTTACATTGTCCCACCCGATGACATAAGAACATAAGAAATTTACAAACGAGAGGAGGCCATTCAGCCCATCCAGCTCGTTTGTGGGGAATATAGTGATATAGTATGATGCGATTCCATATTAGATTCTTGATGAATGTGGGTTGTTGTTATTCAGCCTGGTTCTATGTTCCCCTTTTTAACTTTGAGCACCCGCCCCTTCAAACATCTCTGCACGGCCCTGGTCTTCAGTCCTGCTTCTAGGATCCTGACGTACTGTTCTAACAGTGCACTTCACGCCTGCACTTAATGTTTCCCATTCCATTTGAAGGTCACTTGATGTCACCCTCCAATTCATGAGATTGGATAATTTAACGTTCATCTCTGCTGTTAGAAAGCTGATTCCGCCCTATACCTGGCTGGTTTCTGGTCGTTCCCAGTGTCTCCTGCTTCACCTTATTCTTGTGTACTGCTGTCTTAGAAATTTTGAGCATAGAAGGAGCCTGCTTCTCAGTGTAGCCTTCTGCCAGCAGAACCAGGATTAAACCAAGATTAAAAAATATAGAGTGGTTTCTTAAATTTTTTTTTTCCAGAGCTGAATGTACATTTATTATTAGGCTGTTATACATCATGCCTGGTCTTTGGAGTCAGAGATTACATACTACCAGATTTTTTAAATAATGCTGAATAGCACTTTCTGCATTTTTGGCTGTTAAAATTTTTTAAATAAGTTACAATTTAATTATTGGCTATTTTCAGCATATTGGACTGCATAACATAAAAAAAAAGCAGTTTTTTTCATTTCTTTTCTATAAGGTGCCTTGTGTAATGAGAAATGGATGTCATTATATATACATATTCATTTGTTAAAATTATCTTGTATATGTGTCTGTGTGTCTCATGGAGAGAAAGATGGGGTTGGCAGTTTTCCCATGGGGATCAATAAAGTATCACTGTTCTGTTCTTAAAATATCTTGGTGAAAGCAGAGAGCATTGTAGGATGACCAGAACAAATGTGAATTCCAAATTTGGATCTGGAAGACCACGACAGTGAGGCTTTCAGTGACAATGGACAACTTGGCCGCAGTGAGCGACTCGTGGACAGGAAGCATAGAATGGCCAGCTCTGAGCGGCGCAAGAGTAATGACTCAGTGCAGTGACATCCTGTGGTTAAATAACACAGGCCAGGTTGGCAGATGGACACCCAAGCAGGCACAAACACGGACGGACCCATGCGGACAAGCCGAGCTTTATTGGGGGATCACAGGCGCAGTGCCTGCTGTATGCGAAGTAAATGTGCTTGTGAATTTTTACATTTGGCTTTGTTGGGAGTGATATCTCGCAGTTCACTGTCAGCTGTATGGACAGAAAAGCAGGATGACATCTCTGTCCGACAAGGAGAAGGGGACAGTGGAGTGAGAACTAGTTGACTGATCATTATAGGCAGTTCTTTCAGTGTTTGAGGGCTGGAGGGGTCTTCTCCACAGAAGAAGACTAGAGAATTACCTTTATTCTGCAAAGACTTCAGAAGAAGGGTTACATTCATGCTTTAAAAGCAGTGGGAGTTTACAGAAAATTTCCTGTAACTGGGGCACTGCAAATCATTTTCGACAATGTTCAAGGTTCCAACTATTCTCTCAAAACAACATTTCCTTCTAATTCCCAGTCCTACACTATTGAGATTCTCCAGCTGTCTGCATTGCTTCAGTTTTGATTAATATGGCAGTTAATGGAGTTATTAGTCAATCAGTAAAAAGACAATGTGTATGCTCACGTAGTTAGTGAGTTTGACCTTGAAATGGTGAGTTTTGGTGTAGCTTTCACTGTCATGTTGTGGACTGACCTTGCTAACTGGAAGGCAGCATTTACGGGGCACACTTGCATTGGAAATGTGCTGCAAAAGCAAGACAAATATTGTCATAGCTGATAAAAAAACACCTACCGGCCAAACATAAATTTATAGTGCAGTACCACAAAACCACCACAAAGTGGCACTATTCATTTATTTTCTCTGAGGAAATCCCCAGCCGTTTCTCCTCGCTTTCCAGCAGCTTCTTGTAGGTGGCTATCTCTGCATCCAGCTTCAGCTTAATATTTAGTAGCTCCTTGTAATCCTGGAGGTATTTGCTCATCTCAATCTTGGTTTCGCAGATCTGGGTCTCGAGCTGGATAATGATGTTCTGCAGATTGGAAGCCTTGTCCAGGTGACTGGCTTCCATGTCGTCCAGCTGCTGTTCCAGGGCTGCATTGCGGGCTCGCATTGCATCGATTTGGTTCTGGAGGTCCATGATTTGGTTGTGGAAGGTGTGGATCTCTTCCTTCATCGATTGCACCTTTTCATCGTTCTTGCCGGCACGTTCTCTGAGCGTGTCAAACTTGCCCTTGTACCACTTCTCGGCCTCCTGCACATTGCGTGACGTCACCTGCTCCATCTCTGCCCGCACGTTGCGCAGGTAGCCGGCCAGGTCGGGCCGCTCCGAGTCCAGTTCTGTTGATACCTTGGAGTCCTGAATCTGTTTCCTGAGGTCGGCCACCTCCTCGTCATGCAGCTTCTTCAGGAACTCGATCTCTGCCACCAGCTCCTCCACGCGGCTCTCCAGATCAGCCTTCTCCAGGGTGGCATTGTCCACGTCTCGACGGAACTCTTTGAGGATTCTCTCCGCTTCCTCTGACATTTCAGATCAGATCAGGGATTAGATCATGTGCGAGAACAAGCTCACGTCATGAATCAGTGATGTTGTCTCAGTTTCACTAGTACTGTTCAACCAAGGGACCCTAAAACTGTGCTTTCAATCACTCCATTCTGTGCCATAACAGATGTGAAGGAGGATTTCTTTGATAAATACCTTGTTGTTTTAAGTTGGGTTTGACTGTGCATAATTAAATGATATATGCCTGTGGTAATGATGCTTATGTTTTACTAATTACATTAAGAGTGTAGTGTTTTTAAAATTCACTTCTTGTTGATGAATGCATATTTGCATAGATTTGCTTACAAGATTGCAGCCAGAGGTGGAAAGTTCAGATGCAGTAACTACAAATCCAAGTTGAGGATTTTGATTCAGTCACCCACTTCAGTACTCTGTGACTGTGACTGTTTATACTCTGTTGGTTGAAACAAAACCTTGGTCTGGATTTGTACTTTCTGGACCTGAACTTTCAACCTCTGATTATAACTTGCTGTATTACGTTGCTTCTGATATAAACGCTCCTTTCTGGTGGCTTACCTTTGAGGGCCAGCTCCTCCTCAAGCTTCAGCCTCCACATCTCCACCTCCTCCACATAGTAGCCCCTTTCGATATCTGCAGCCCCCTTTTCGCTGGTCAGGGTCTCGATCTGGGCTCTCATCTCGCTGAACTTGCGGTCATACTCTTGGCCGATGCCGGTGGGTCCCCCCTTCTGCTGGCCCCGCAGGGTGGCCAGATGGGCGCGTAGAGATGCATTCCGCTGCTCCAGTACTTGCACCTTCTCGATGTAGCCAGCGAAGCGAACGTTCAACTCCTGCATCGTCTCCTTCTCGTTGGTGCCGTGCCAGTGGATCTCGGTGCCCAGCTCGACAGCGCCTCCCAGGCTGCCTGGGCCACCACGGGTGAAGGAGGACGCCCTGCAGCGGGCGGGTGAGGGGCTCTGCACACGCACCCTGCTGGTGCTGCCCGCAGACACGCTCAGCCGTGTATGGGTGCTTCTCATGGTGCCGTGGAAATGTCTTGGTGGAAGAAAAAGATGTGATGGTAAGATATGAAGCCTTCCTGTGCTCCCAGTCCGAGTTGGGTGTCCCTGGAAATCGCTGCTGGTTCTTTATACTGGCAGCAGGGAATGTCGCACGTATCCTCGAAAGTCCACCATGTTTCAGACATCTGTTAAATCTGAAATGTGACAGTATGACTAGTATGACTAATAGGGTTAATTAAATTTGAAGTATGAGCTGCAGCCTGGTTGCCCGAACTGGCTCTCTCACCTGAGTGCCACATAGCCGGTGGCTGAATTAACCGGAAAAGTGGAGCCAGGCGCTATGTAGGGCCGGAGCCACTGTGTTATGCTCACGGGGGAAACACCATGACTACTCAAGGAAAAGTTTTTCCATGTGACATTTTGTTTCTTTTTGTGTGCGGAGCACCATTGAGGCGTGAATCAAAATGTGACAAAAGGAAAAGTCTCCAAAAATAGCAGGATGCTTCCTCGAGAGGACAGAGACGGGGCTAGAGCTGCAGTCGTCAGCCTTTTTACTGCTGCAGTATGAAATAAAATAAGATAAAAATGACACAAAGCTCACCTGCCATTTTTTTTTAGATACACAGCTCCTTTATATTTTCAAAAGCACTGTGCATCTTTATAATGACAAATTGGAAGTTTTATTTGGCCATTTTCATGCAGAACAATAATAAGTATTTGTTTTAATACATGCGATAAAAGACACTACAATTATTATTATTGCAGTTGTTAACTTTGTAAGGTCATTGGGTGTAACATTCGTTTAGTCTAAACAATTATTGAAATTTAATCATTAATGAGGGCTTAACGGTGTTTCATTTGCAGTTTGCGGGTTAAAATAAGGTTCAGGAAAGTGTGATCTGTGGTGTCAAGAGAAACATGTCAGACAGTGAGAAGCTCATAGCAGCAGGGTTAGGGCTGTGGTCCATGCTGACGCCCTCAGTGCTGGGCTGCTGTGATCTTTTAGCCAGATGCTAATTGACAACTGGGCCGCTAAACCCCAGTAAGCCCAACCGGGCCGTGTGACATAAGCTTTTCCCCCGGGCTTTGGCCTGGGGCTGCAGCCAGATTTGCAATAGATCCAACAGCATAATCATCAGCGGCCTGCCTGTACCAGTCGTGTCCATTGACAGGCAAGTGTTACAAAGCCAGTTTTGACAGATGGCGATCTCAGAACAGCTTGTTGTACAATGACTGATGTGTTACAAATGAATGGTATGACAGATTAGACTTCGGGTTTAATCTGAGTGCCATAATCTATAGGGAATATAATTTGAAGTCAGTTGTGCCGTTCTGCTCTTACAAAGTGCAGATGTCAGAACAAATGAATGTGCTGCTACCTTTTTTCATTGGTGCTTGTGGGATTATTTATGACATTTTGTAGCTCCATCAGTCACTGAACAGTCACTACTGAAGGCGGCTAAGGGCCAAAACATGAAATGCTATTGGAAAGCATGCAAGCACCATCCATTATACCGTTTAGTGGCCATGAGTGTCAGATTATTGACTAACCTGCAATGAGAAAAAGGTTCTCATTGACAATCGTCTATCTCGCGCATACAGTGACAAAAAAAAAATTGGCGTAAAGTGTGACCATCATCCTAAAACAAGTGACAATTAAAGGTATAAATTGTCTTTTTTTTCTTGCGCAAATAAGGGTAATTGAAAAAAACTCAAGTTCCATATTTACTGAAGAATATCCTCCTAGCCAACGGTTAAATTCTTCCAACCAATTTTGTATGAGATGTAGTACAAAGAACAGAAATGTTTCTGAATGAAGAGGGTTGAGGATGATGGTAGGTATGTAGGTTGGTAGATATACATATATGTTCTCCGGAGGGAAATCACTTTTTTGCAGTGAATCTGACTGCACACAACAGGTTTAACAATGACACTGCAGCAACACAATAAATAAATACAGTGAAATCCGATAAATACAATATAAAAAATGTGTAACTGTATGAAAAATATAGCTATAAACTGGAATTAGTTGAACCAAATACGAAAACAATCAGTCAGACAGGGGCATCATGAAGGTGGATGGAAGTTGGCATGAAATAATGTCGATATCGATAATGTAACAGATCTTAACTTGGAAAGCAAATGTGGGCATGTTGGCGTGTATATTTATAGCAATGACATTGATTGGTTGTCTTACAGCTAGACCCATTCATGGCTTGTGATGTTTTCTTGTTGGGTGGCCGTGGTTTCGCCCAATGTGACATTAAAACGTGCACATTTCCTCTTTCCAGCATTAACCAAGCCGGAGTTTTCAGTCAGGGCAACGGACTTGAAATATCTTCACAGACTATGTGGCGGCGTTGAGTATCACATTGGGAAATCTTTCGGAAGAGTGTTTCCCAAAGCTATAGCTAATGCCTGATATAGAAGCAGATGTGCAGCTGAGCCCAACGCCACCACAGGGCCTGCTAGGTTAATATTTCCTGGCTGGAGGGCAAAAATAATGCAAGAGGGACCACTTACTCATTCATAGTAATGTTTCTTTTCAAACTAATGAAAAGACGTGGGGTGTAGAAGTAGAAAATGTACTACCTATTAAGCAGTTAGTCAGTGTAGAAAAATCCCATTACATTTGGTTTAAATTGGTTGTAAAGGATTTGTAAAATAGACCAATATAATTTTAGTATAAATGTTTCTATATTTGGCCATGGTAACCCTTCCTGGGAGCACCTATGCCTTCTTTGCTCCTCAGCTTCAGCTAGGGTCCAGGCCTCTCACAACCCTGCCTGGGATAAACATCTGGAAAAGAGATGGATGGATTGGCTATTTTTGAAGGGCTGTGTTGTCTTGACTCAAGCTTACAGCAAACAATTATCCAGGAAATTGTGATATAAAAAAATGTCAGTATGATTTTCTTATTCCAATCATGCGAGACTTTAATGGTCGACATCACCATTGGTCAATGTCAAGAAGGCAATAAGTGACCCAACCTGCCGGAACCTCAGGGAGAGCAAATGCGGCTGTGATGTATCTTACCTTTACAGTTCCTGTGGAAACAGCTCTAAATGTAATGGAGAAGTCACATTCAGTCCCAAGGTGGCCCTTAACGGGCACATTGATAGAGGAGAGAGATGTGACCGGATCGCTGTGATTGTTTGAGCCTCTGGCTGTTCTTCACATCTCCCGTTTCTTTGACGCCCCTCATAACCAATCCTAAATGGCGATGAATAACTTTACGTGCCTCACCGTTATAATCAAACATACGGAGAGAGATCTGCGGTGCTCCTGGTTTTACTCGTTTGCTTGAAATGGTTCCTCCTTATCTACAGCAAGTATTAGCATTAATATTAGTATTAATAGTATTAGTATCTAGTTCTCTTTCAACCAACCAACTAGTGATGTTAATGAACAAAAGTTACGTTTACATTTTTATTAAGTTTTGTATTACATTATATTATCTTTATTTTGTATATTATGGTACTTGATATGTTATTATGGAAGATTTCTAAATCTCTCCTCAAGCATTTCTTCAGGAACAGATTCTTAATAAGTACTCTGAGGGTCCGTCCAAGGAATCCTGCAAACTCAAAAAACCCGTAGCATCCTGCAGTCCCTTAATAGCTTGTGATTCATTTCAAGCGAATGCAACTCATGCTAATTAGAGGGTCCCTCAATATTGTGCTGAATTTTGCACAGCCGGTCAAACTTCTGTCGCGTTTGTTCGTGTCTTTGACTATCCTTGACACATTGATGTTACCTAAAGTGATTTTTTCCCCCTGCAGGTCTCATATAAAATGCTTACGCTGCAAGCTGTTCCTTCAGACCAAAAAGAAAAGATGAACATGTGGTGTCCTGTGAATCAGATGCTAACTTCCATATTAATGTGGGATGTAGGCATGGAAAAATAAAGCCCTTTTTTATTTGGCTGAATAACTAAGTATATTAATTTAACATCAAATGCTCTCTGTTCATCTTTGCTCCTTTTTATTGCTGCCTGACACAGAGTCACAATGATACTGCTATCATAACCAAATGTCAGCCCAAATTTTCCACACGGTGCGTGACACACAACTGGGTCAAACAAACTACTTTCAAATTCATTCATGGACAAAAAACATGAATCAGTGAGCCGGTGCTGGTTTTATGTCTGAATTTCCCTTTTTCCATATTTTCCACGTCTTTCAGAAAGCAGGACCGTGCTTTCAAGTGAGCCTTTCATTGCTTTTGTATTGATTTAGCAGAATCCCAGGCTGCCATGGGCATCTGTACAATGCCAAAGTCACACCAGCTGGCAACAAAAGACATTTTATTATTGAAGCTTAGAAAAAAGCTTGTAATATTATCATTGCAGCCTTTTAATGAGCTAATCCATCTTTTTCTTCCGAGCATTCGCATCTCTGTTTCTTGTCGTTCCTTTCTGGTAGCTGGCTCCTGATTGTGCTGTTCCACTTGGACTTGGTCCTGTTCAATGTTCCTTATGAAAATCATGCAGGCCTCAAGTTCTCCCATTGTCTTTCTGAACATGCACCTCCTTCGTTCTCTCCTAAGACGGTAAACTGTTGCAGCCGCAGGCATATTTGTCTGTGAAAAGGTGCTTTGTGATCCTGCATCTCTCCATAAACATGCACTTATTGTCTCTCTCTCTCTCTTTCTCTCTCTCTCTCTCTCTCTCTCTGTCACCAGGGTAATTTCACCAGTGTGAGTCTCTGACAATAATATGAAGAAAAGCACATAATTCAAAACTGGATTTTAAATGTACATTTTAGATGCACTCGCCATTAATTAGTTTACACTTTATACATTGACTGAAGTACTTAAATTTAACACTAGAATAACATATATCAGTTCTTTACTATTAATTTGTTTGGATGTGGAATGTTCAGAACAAGCCGGGCCAATGGGTCTCTTGGGTCAAAATCGCAACGAAAGGACAGGCACTCCGCAGTATCACAACCAGGGTCGTGGATTGTTTTTTATATATTTATATTCTATTGGAAAAACCATACTGTTACATGGCCACAAAGAGTATTAAGGCATTTGTGTGTTGAGGGTGGATATTTTTAATCTTAATTGATCTCCAATGAAAATCCATTCTGAAGTAGAAGTCCTTGGTCACAGAGAATCACATCTGTGACAAACCTTGAGGCACAAATGCATACTTGGTCCTCTAAAGCTCTCACGTTTACCCTGGGGTCAAATTGACCCCAAAGACCCCACCCCCCCCAAATGACAGGTGACTTCTCATAGTAACATAATTATTGTAGCAGCATGTAAGACTTAGGCAACAGTTAAGAATATACTTGGTAAAAATGCAAAGTCGAGTAGATTTAACACTTTATTTATAAACACTTAAAAACATAAACAACTCCCCTGTCCCCATCTACTGCTCCATGTCAGTGATTTGAATACACACACCATTCTGCATTTCAGTTTGTACATTGACCTGTCGTAAATATAGTGCTATTTCATTACATAAGTGCATTACATTGACATAAGTCACAGACATAACTGGTCTTGCATGAAATCAATAGACACTTAGGTTTCTGCTATTCGGATTAATTTTAAAGCCACGGACCCCCAAGGAACACAATTACCAACTTGCAGCCGGTCACTCACCCCAGTAGGAGATAGGGGGCGCCAAACCAGCAGCAGGTCCACAAGGACGAACAGCATATACAGAGGGGGGACATCAGTGCACGGCCGGATGTGCACCAAAACATATACACACGCACGCCCACGCACACACAGTACACGCGGTACACTGGACTGGGACGAGGAGCGCGGCTGGGCAGAGCACGCTGGGCCGGCATAAAGTGGAATGTTTCTTGTGCCTGTTTGAGTTGCTGCTTGACCTAATCCTGGTAGCCCTGATAGCCCTCCTGGAAAAGGGAGAAAAATAAGCAAATCAGCATCGCACTCACACTTTATCCTGGGAATATAAGTCTTCACACTAACTAACCAGAAAAGCTTCAGTTACTATGTATCAAATTGCGTCGCTGGTACAACAGAGATGAATGACTGTTTAAATATACAGGCAGTCCCTGGGTTAAGAAGGTCTGATGGACAACTCATACTTACAACCTAATAGCCGATTTTACTGAAAATTCAGGGTAAATACAATCGTTCATGAAAACAAACGCACAATCTACTTTGTGACGCTCATGAAAACGTTGCGCCGCTTCAGCGGTTCGCCGGCTCAAGGTACAGTACTGTACTGTACAGTATATAGTTTTTTTTATTACTGTATTATTATGTATTATTACTGTTCCAACTTGCCTATAAATTTGACTTTAAGAGCGATTCAGGGAACAGATCCCATTTGTAACTTGGGGGCAGCTTGTCCTGTAATGTAACATTATAGTTACAGGGCTACTGTCTGACTATCTGCTCAGCTAATTTACCTTTAGGCATTGAGTTAAAATAGTGTGATGATAATGACGTGAGTCAGATTTTCTTGGCTTCCTTTAGATTATAGTCACCATTGCATTGTAACACTTCTGTTCATTGGGTAACCATGTTCACTCTCAGTTATGTATTCAGATTTTTGCTTGTAGATACTGGTCTTATGAGCCTTCTCATTCCCACAAAGAGGAACCAGTTCATAGATGTTACATCTGGTTTTGGGAAGAGTACTTATTACAGAAGCAAATGTATGATTATTTGGGTAAGATGATATGCAGCTGTGGGGACGGCTTAGCCAATGGGGCACATCATGTGCAACGATAAGTAAGACATAGACCGAGTGTTTAAGGTCTAGGTGGGGATTAACTCCATAAACACAGACCTCAGCAGGACGTCCGGCTGTCACTGACAAACTTCACAGCCTATTGCCTATGAAAGTGGGCTTACAGGTGCAACAATGACATTGAAGAACAGCATGCAGAGGAGCAATGCTTTCCTGTTTGTCGCCCTGCTTTGGTTCTACAGACAACTATTCCAGTTTGTTGTACTCCTCTCAAGAGTGTAGGTTTGGTTTCTAACTTCAGTAGGGATCAAATCAGCACCAAACCCCCCTTCCTCCTAAACACACCCAGTATACCTACAATACTGGTAGAGACCACAAGTGGAAAGTACTGGTTCAGAAAGTACAAATCCAGACCATGATCTTGTTTCAACCAACCAGTTGAGTCCTCTGTGCCTGTAACTCTTTATCCTTTACTGGCTGGTTGAAACATAATCTTGGTCTGGATTTGTACTTTCTGAACCTGAACTTTCTGCCTTTGGTAGGGACATGTCCCTACTATCCAAACCCAAATCTATGCCCTTGACTCCTTGTCATCAAAAGGCTAACAGCACCATTTCTGATGTAATTCAAAACAAGGGTGGAGTTTGATGACAGAGTCCTATCCTCTATTGTACCTGCTGAGCCCACCTGAACTTAAGCTCACCTCAGGTACAACTCCATAGCTGTTGTCAGGGTCCACCTGTAGCTCGCCTGTGTTCTCCACCAAGGCCTCCTGGGACATCGTTTCATCCTGCCCAAAAAAAGCCAGGCAGAGCATGAGAGGAAAACCACAGTGAATTATGTCCCCATATTGGGCAATAATCAATTCTGTCCCACAGATTAGCTGTTCCCCATTAAATTTTAGTACCTCTCATTCAACCAAATAAGAATTTCTCTGAAGTCCACTATGAAGTAAAAATAGTATTTGACTATCTATACCGAAGTAAATGAAAAATATATTTGCATCGTTTTGGTATACAAGTTTTGTAGCCATTGTCTATGTTGCTTATCTAGAAGGTTTATGGGGTCTCAACAGTTGGATTCCTATGCTTGGTTGCTTGTCAAATAACCATGGAATCTGCAGGGGGCCTTTGACCTAGAGGAAAATAAAATAGTGTGGAACATTTCTGCAGCTGAAAAAAACAGTAAAAGCCCAAAGGTCACGCTGTCGCTTCCTGGCTCTGGACCCTAGGAGGAAACAGCGATGAGGACAAAAACACACGCCTCCTCTCTGCCAAAACTGGAGATGTGCAGAGGCTGTAACTAGGACAGGAGGACCCCCAGAGACTCCCAGAGGTACTCACAGCTGCCCTTGGCCTCACATAAGTTTCCAGGGGAAAGGGTAAACAGTAGCTGATTGGCCCGTCAGCATTCTTCACATTGTAATTTTTTTTTCACCATTTTCAAATTCATCCATTTTCTGCAACCATTTGTCCTAGTCAGAATTGCAGGGGGTCCGGAGCTTATCCCAGAGGCTATGTGCACAAAGCAGGGTAAAACCAAGGATGGGGCGCCAACCCATCCCAGAGCACACTCACACACCATTCACTCACACATGCACACCTACAAGCAATTTGGTAACTCCAAAATTTAGGACCCATGCAATTGACTCCAGATGAAAACTGAATTTTGCACAAACAAAAAAGCATATCAGGCCTCTCGCCTTACTGTCGGCCCACACATGCTCCACAAAGGCTGAACTAAGTCATGATGTGGTTCTGGAGAGCTGTTAACCCTCCAGAGATATTCTGGCTCTGCAGTTATTCCTTGTGTATTTACACAGAACTTGCCCAAAATGCTCTGAAAAGTCGTCCCCTTGTCAGATGGTGGATGCGGTTATTAAGAAGAATCAACCTTCAAAAATGCACTAGATGGCAGCTCTGAATGAATGTGCAATTTCAGGCATGGAAGCATCCACAGCTGTTACAAAGATGATATTTGTATTAGTGATGGGCACCATTGCACACACCAGCAAATGAAGATTTACGGTTAGTTTGTTATTCTGTTATGGTGCAAATTAGTTTGAATATGATTGAGAGCTGAGAAAATGTAAGAGTCATAAATTATGCGGGGTGCTAACTATTTCCTTTAACTATTTCTGTGTGTATTTACCCTGTTGCAATATAGTACATGAATATATAGATCTAGTCTGGCTAGGGGTCTTTTATTGCTAGTGTTCAAACAACTTTGCCTGTAAATCCAAATCATTCAATATGTGCCGCATCATGCTGGTAACTTAGGCTCTGTGGACAAACTGCAGATACAGTACACCCTAAAAAGAAAGGTATCCTATTTAAGGACACGTAAAATATTGAGCGGTTTCTCTATTTCAACACCGGAAAGGTAAGCAAACGAGGTCCGAGTCCAATTTTATCCGTATGGATTTTTCTTGCTTGCTCCACGGGGATTGTTATTAGCAGAGAGTCATTTAAATGTCAGAGCACTCGATGACTTTCACTCCATCTTCAGAGTGAGATAATGGCACCCGGTGAAAGTGAACACCCAGCTCTTTGCACATGGGTGAGATTCCACACACATATTTAGAGGCTGTAACTCATTAAGCGGAGGTAAGTAAACAGGGACTTTCTGGCTGCTTAGAAGGGGACATAGACCCCACTGAGAAGAAGGCAGCATTTATTTAAATAAGTCATGCAGCCCTTGTGGTCACTTGCCTCGCATGAGATCTGGGTGTCCTTGATAATTTTGTGATACTGACAAAATTCAATACTAACATGTGTAAGATCCAATTTACATTTTTAACAGTAGTCATATACTGTACAAACATCTTTGTTGAAAGTTATTAAGGCGAGACGGGACCGGAAAGTGAATTGTAGTTTCATTGAGCAGTGGCCTGAAAAAAAGGAGCCTGAAACTGAGTTTGTGTGACACAGAACATTTGACTGCCTGCTAAAGTGAGACCAATATCATAGGTCCTATAAGAGACGGACAAGTGGCCGATTTCAGAGGTCCTATAAGATACGGACAAGCGGCCGATTTCAGAGGTCCTATAATAGACGGACAAGCGGCCGATTTCAGAGGTCCTATAAGAGACGGACAAGTGGCCGATTTCAGAGGTCCAACAAGATATGGACAAGTGGCCGATTTCAGAGGTCCTATACTGTAAGAGACGGACAAGTGGCTGATTTCAGAGGTCCCATAAGAGACGGACAAGTGGCTGATTTCAGAGGTCCTACAAAATATGGACAAGTGGCTGATTTCAGAGGTCCTATAAGAGACGGACAAGTGGCTGATTCTACAGAAATCCTATAAAAGGCCAATTCATTAAAATGATAATATACATATTGTTGATTGTCAGTTTTTCACTTATTTTTGTAATGTGGTTAGGCTCTATATTAATCTGACTAAAACATCCACTTCAGCACCACTTCATGATAAAGGTCTAAATGATACAAGCTGAATGATGATTATTAAAAGTAATTAGTACTGTGTACTTGTCATTGAGTGTATCCTTCACTGTTATGAAAAGTTCAGTGTACTATTTTCAAAGCCAATAGCCTTTTACCAATTTTTGAAACGGCCTTCAAAGAGCTCAAAGGTGAAGGACTCAACTCCATTGGCTAAAGCTTCCTAGTGATCAGCCTGTGGTTCGAGCCCTGGTGATGAAACATGACTAACATCTTAACTTCAAGGTCACGAGGATCTAACTCAGCACGAGGTTCTCAGCTTGCTGACGTATAAGGTGGCTTTGTTGATCTGTTAGGTTGCAAGCTGCTGGTTATTGCTGATGGGGGGGCAGGTGTTAAGCTTCAATCGGGGCCGTGCCCCCCTACATGTCTATGAAATTGATTCAAAGCATGAAGAAAGGGTGGGGTGACAGCGGTGTGAATCCGAGGAGCTTAGCATATCATAGCTTATCATCTGTTTCCTAGCAGCTTGGAAGCTGATTATTAAATAATGAATTATTCATAAGTAAAGTCATAGTAAATAATGAAAAACAACATTTTAAAAATGGCCGGACAAACCCAACTACCCTTCAGAAGCTCTTGTTCTATGTAGCTAGTACCAACATTAACGTCACTGGACTCTTGTCTAAACAGTCTGAAACCTCTTGCAGAGGTTTATAGAACTTGTAGAGGTTTATAGATCTAATAGAACTTTGCATTAAGATTTTAGAAGCAATGATTCCATGTGTAAAGCTGTAAGCACAAGCAGCCAGATTTTACAGCGCCTTCGTACCCTAACAAGCTCCGTTAATATGGCGAAGATGTGCACCACGGACCAACGTGAGGCAGCAGGGGCTGAGGATGCTGTGGAGATTCAGCACAGGGCCCATCTGTTTCTGTCAACATGTCAGTAGGACGACTCCAGCAACAGTCACCGCTCCATGCTCAAGGCCCCTGCTGGACGTCGCGTGGAAAAGTGCGGTGACGCACGAAGCGGGCAGTCAACATCCTCTCCGTCGCAGGTGTACGCATGCACACAGACACTCACGCACAGCGATCTTATTGGCTGTGAGGATCAGTAGGATTACTGAGGCTCTGTATTTTCTCACGCAGGGGATGTTTTGCTTGGTCTGTGCCAACAATTAACAACGTGAAGGATTTCACTGCTTTTCATTTCCGTGCTCACATAATGGTTGTTGGAACAATGCAAATATCCATATTTGTAAAAGAACTAATGTTGTATAGCCACTAACATAGAGTATAGTGGTGTGCTAATATTAACTGGTACTTTTTATTGATCCCCATGGGGAAAATCTCTTTTTGCATCCACCAACTTGCTCTCTGTGGGTGCCCCCCTACTGGCCTACTGCCCCCTACTGGTCCGGCATTATTAAATATTATGGTGATGATCTGTAGCTTTGAGCTGCAACACATCATCATAGTCAAGTTAAAACAAGTAGTTATAGTACAGGTGATTAAATATGAATAAATTTAGACATTAAGAAGAACATCTGTATGCTAAAATGAATTGGAGTTTGGGGTGGATGCAAGATGCCTCTTCCTAGCCCACCAATTTGTCTACTATCTTTGTAATCATGGAATATACCTAAATGTCATGCTGGGGTACAGATGCAGTGCAGCGAACTGAATCATGATTTTCGATTTTGACAGTCGAAACATTATAACAATAATGCAATATAAATATAGTATAATAAAAAGTTATGAAAAGGAAACCACATATCGTATTGAAAAATGACCAAATGCTAGTATTCAGTCTGTCTGTTTCAATATAAGATATGCTGGTATGAAGGTTCCACCTCACCTGCTTATCCACCTCCTTTTTCACTAAGCCAGTAGCAGCAGCAATGTTACCAGCTCCTTCCACAGTCTTATGGGCAACAGCTGTCACTCCGGTCACTACTGCCCCGCCCACCTGCGACACATGGGTCGCAGTCTTCTCTGCGACTGTCAAGGATCAACACACAGCATACAGAACAGGTCAGGTGTTCGTTGGTGAAGGAGAAAAAACGGTGTTACTGTCATTCAGAGGAGGAAACACAGCCTAAATGCTAGAGGCTTTAAAGGATTCTAAACGGATCTGAAGTAAGTATATGGCAACCTTGCACACCTTTCGTGGATGTAAAGAAGATTTATGACTACGACAAAATCAATATCTGGTAGCAAAATCAACTAGACGAGGTCAGCGTATTATTAAAATCGGTCTCCCTGGAGATTGCATGCTGAAAGAGGCGTTGCTGCTGTATCCAATCCATGAAGTTGTTTTATTTGACAAACACGGCAATTTGTCTTATTAATGGTGTATACACACAGTTTAAGGGACAGTGACAAATTGTAAATAGTGATATAATTGCAGTGTATTTTAATACAGAGAAATAAATGAATGAAGGTCACACTGGATTATAAACAGGCGTTCAAAAATGTCATGTGTAATGATCATTATACCATATTTAAATGTTTACATGAACAAGTGTGGAGAATGAAAGAATGAAAAATTAGCATCCAAACTAAACGTTTTTACACCTTGTGGTGTTAAAAATAAGGTGAGTTATAGGATAATGTTGAAGATGCTCATTTTGGTAGGAGCTCCTTTACTCACAAGACACAGTTCTAGAGTCATTCTGATAAATACCTGCATAGAGCTCTCCTATTCTCTCATACTCTGGATTTGATGGCCTTGTCTCAATATAGGTTCTCAGTCCAGCTCATTCTCATGGAAGTAAAGCATAATGGTGTTTGCTTAGATCACGGTGCCAGACACTTGCCCTTGAAGTCCACGAAGACTGTTTGGTCTTGCTCAGCCTCAAATCCTAATTGTTTTTTCGAATAATTTTTTGCACAATCAAGGAATTCAATGAGGAAATATGGAATTCAATATCAAGCAAAAGCTATAATGAACTGAATTTAAAAATAAAATACAGATGTTTTGCAGATTGATCATAGTTGTCATAAAAACTAAAAAGCAGGGACTTGCACACCTCAGTTACGCACCTGAGCACACGTGCCAGTTGCACAGTGGGAATCAAAATAAGAAAAAAAAAGCTGATTTAGTGCTTCTGGCAGTTTTAACTGAGACATCGCACCATGGCACCGACAGCTGAAGGTAATCACAGGAAGCACTTCTGCACACCTAAGGATGTCTACGGCGCAGACTGGGAGAAGCGGCCGGCCGCCGCTTTGTCCTTGGGATCCCGTGTTCATTAACACGACGGCCCACTGCAACTCAGTTACACCTCCAGGAAGCTGTTCCTGGCAACGAGGCCACGCCCCCCCCGAAAAGCTATTCCCTGACTTTGCCCGTCTTAAATGTCTGCCGCCTGCTAATCGGGAATTCAAAACCCCCGTCAAACACAGACAGCAGGCTCACCTTCAGACTGGGGTGGCCATGAGTGATTGACTCACCGGCGCGATGCACGCATGCGCTCGCTCCAGGCCAGCAAGGTCTGTTTCTGTCTGGAAGCCGTCTCATGGTGAACACCCTCCTCGGGCCCCGCTCATAGAGAGTTTTAATTCACCTAGCTAATTCCAGTGCTACCACATTCATGACATATTTTAATGCAAACTCAATTTTGTGCATTATTTATTTTGATTGATTCTGAAAAATGCTGTTTGCAGCAGAGAAAATTACAGCCTTTTAAAAATATGCTTTCTGTTATTTCCTGTGGTATATAAATGGACGAATGGCTTCCTAGTATGCAAATCCAAAATGTACTACCATATTAATACCTGTGTGTAATCCATCCACCTTCCATACTATCCAGTGCAGTGTTGCGGTCCGTGTATATATTGTGTATATATGAATATCACGCAAGGGGTGTGACAATGTATGAATGGATGGACAAATATGCACTCAAAACGTGTTTACCTGATGAAACTCCATCCTTTGTTTTGGTGCCTATGAATAAAAAGGAAATTAAGAATTAAGCAAAGATGAAAGATTATTGGCCATTCAAGTACTGTTTATCAATAAATATGAGAAATTAACATAAAGATCTCTCGGCGTGGGGCTTGAATCTGTAATGAATCCGGTTCAAGAGAAGCGAAATAATGATTTAAAGTGGCCAATTTGCTTTCTATTTAATCAAGGCAACGGAATATCGTGGAACAGGTATCGACCAGTATTATAAATATTATTTTCAGTGGATAGTAATATGGCTGATATCCGATAGCAATAGTTGGGCAAATAACAAATAGGACAATTAAGAACCTACCCACGAAAATTACCCCTTCTTTTGTCTTCTCGGCTGCCTCACTCACTCCCTGTTTCGTCTTTTCTGCGGCCGCCACAACCCCGTCCTTTGCTTTCGAGAACCCTTTCATTAGCGCGTCCATGTTGGTACAAATTGATCGGTAATTTCTGCGAAGAATGTTCGCCCACTGTTACAAGAGCCGTTATAATCATCCTTATGTTCTGCAAGAGTTACAGCTGGCCAAATTTAGGCAGGGTTACACTACATATCCCGAATGCATCTAACAAGAAAAATATATTTACAGCTGACGATGAATCTCACTGGGTACCGTATACAAACACCTGTTAGCCAAGAAATGAGCTAGATTAGGCAAACGCACCATTTTATCAATAAAAATAAAATAGCAATTGCACAAATATTCATACTGCACGAATGCCAGCAAACGCAAAATATAAAACAGATGCAAAATTCAGTATGTTATGGTAAGAACGGTGTAATATCTAAATTATAAAAGTTACATGCGTTCAAGTAGGTTCTCTGTGACCTTAGAGAATTTTAAAACCTGTAGAGCATTTGCACACACCTGTTAGCCTCCCTGGTTTTCAGAATCGACGAACTCACTGCAAATGTATGTAAATCCGAAAAGCTGTAAAGTGCGTCCAGGTTGCGCGTGCAGGACAGAGGCTGAGCTCGTGAGTCAGCGCGTGGTGCTGATGCTGGAGCAGGTCGAGTAGCTGGGCTGCATCACCGCGTGCACGCCAGAGCTGCGCGATTCGTCGCGTCATCCTCTCCGCCTGCCACGCCCACTGAACAAAATGCGCTCCTACCGTTTGCGTGCCATTTGCCTCCAATTTAACAATTTTACACCTTTGTACAAATCTCATATAAAAATATCAATGAAAGCAAATCGTAAGCATTGTTTGCAAAACAAAACAGCTGTAAGAAAATATTTGTGGGGGTTTGTGCGTTTTCACAGAGGACAAGGTTTTGTTATTAAAACCTTATTAGAATCTTTTATTATTAAGGCTTTATTATTTATTGCAGTGGGTAATTGTGGACCAAGAATCCAAATTCCACCAATCTTAAATCACAAACTTCACCTCAGTGTAAAATGGTGTATTGTATCTTATTTTAGAATGCTAGAATGCTATTTTCATTCAAACGTAATGGGTTAACCCGTGGCAATGCGTTTTTTGTTGTTTTTAGATCCTATATCGAGGTTTACACATGTGAGTCCACATTTCTACATGCACTGCCCATGATCTGTTTGTTATTATTTACTTTGTTGAAAGTAATGCCAAAAACCAGCCCTCACTGACCCTCATTGCGGGAAGCTTGTTGTGAATGATGCTTGGAATGATTGGTGCTTGGAAACACATACGTCCTCACAGGTGCGTTAAGATTTCACCACAAGCAAAAAATGCCGATAATGTTTTTTTCTCCATACATTTACAGTAAGATCCATTCATTTCTTCATCTTCCATACTGCTTAACTGTACAATCATAACAAACCTGAGGCTTACCACGGGGCACAATGATACTATAAATAATTGATTATAACAGTTACAATGATGCAAGTCCTCCCCGCTAAAGGTTTAGAAAATTTGCATATATCATGGCAGAATTTCATATAAAAGTTTTCTAACAAAATCCAAGTATTATGTATAATACAATCAGGACTCTTATTCAGAACTATTTCCTTACAATATTCAAATTCTCATTATTATGTTTTTCTAATTAATTCAACCACGAAAACAACTTTTTTCTGTCTCCTCTGTGCTATACCAAGTGAAAAATTTCAATAATGAAAGTCTTATGCACACATCTGAGTAAATGAAGGTGCATTGACATTTTCTTGTGTCTGATTAAGTGTTACTTTATTTTTTTTTTTTTAATCTGAAGTCACCGTGTGCATTTTGAAAGGATTATAAGCCTTGGCCCAAAAGCACATAGTTCCCACAGCAAGCCTTACACCTTCTCATAAAATATTCAGTCAGTAAGCTTTGACTGAACTGATACCTCTCCATTCCAAGCTACTGTATGCATGTTTGCTTCTCCACGGTTTGTCACTGAGTCAGCAGTGACGGCTACAACCAGAATGATCGGTCTGATCGCCACCTTCCCCTGCACGCCGAAAACACTCTATGCCATCTGTACTCTTCGAATAATACGTGAGATGTAATATAAGGCTGTTGCTCACTTCGCAGTTAACTCATTGTTGACGGTTCTATGGTGATTGTACCCTAAATAGGCCTCATAATAGCTATTAAATAAATTATTAGCTAATTGTCTACAGTTTATGTAGACTGTCATTTAGAGAAATTGGTATTGGCATTCGGGAATTCATTTTTTATTTAGATATCTATATGCATATTGGCAGAAAATGTTAGTGCTGTGTGTTTTATGTTTTTAATCTGGTATATTATAAAATGAATGGGTGGACATAAAGCAAAAAAGCATGAGGCCTTTTAAAAGGCAGTGGTCTTTATTTTAACATTGTAACAACTGCTAAATAAACACATATACTTTCTGCCTGTTATGTCTCCAGTGTTGATTCAGTCTCTGTATAGACATTCTTCTACAGATATTCCTTGTGTTTCTTTACCGTATTCAGTAAAACTCCTAGAAGGAAGTTAAGGTTAAACACTCTGTAGCTGTGCATAGCTATGCGCATAACCAAACAACTATGTAGCTAGGGTGTATTGGTCGAGTATTCTTTAGATTGTCTGAAGGTTTAATATCTATATAGACTGAAGAGAAGACAGAAGAAAAATAAGTATAGAAAAATAAATAAACATAAATATTATGATAAATACAAAATAATTAAAGATGGATAGGGATACATGGACAGCAAATACATTTCTCTTGTCATTATTGCTTTACAATGCATAATAGTAATCAAGAATGCAGTGTCCACATTGTAGTGGTTTAACAGAAACAAAACGAAGGCAGTTTTTTTTTTTTTTAACACCAAACAGCTGACTGCAGGGTACCAGCAATGACAATGATGGCATGAAGCAGCTCTCCTTTGGCACCAGCTGGCAGTTTGGAGGAGGTGAGAGAGAGGTGTTTCAGGCACGGGCACGATGCTGAAATGCAGGATGGGGCACATATTTCAGATTCACTTTATCATTTTAACAGTGATTGCAATGCCTTGAATGAGCTGCATTTCTAAAATAGCTTAATGTTATTGATTTTTTTTTTTAAATAAGGCTTTCTTATGTTAGCAATTTGCTATTTAAATAAGGCGTACTTATGTTAGCAATTAGCTATTTAAATAAGGCTTTCTTATGTTAGCAATTTGCTATTTAAATAAGGCGTACTTATGTTAGCAATTAGCTATTTTTTGCACTAATATAATACTTATCACCATTAGCAATGCTGGTTGCATTCTCTCCGTAAATTGGCTCATGTAATGTTTAATGCTATGACATGGTCTGATTATTTTATTGTCCTTCTATTTACCATCTGCTTACTCTGGTTGGGTAGCAGGAAGGTTCTGGACCCGATTACGAGCAGCAAAGGGGACAAGACTGGGGTGCACCTTGGATGGGATGCCACTCCAACAGTGCCAGCACAGTCCCTCCCAGGGCACTCATGCACAGACACATACACTATGGGCAACTGACAGACGCATGAGGAAGACATGCAAATTCCATACGAATGACGCAGCACTACACTATGCATCCCAGCACATGAGCGCCCCCTGTAGCTGAGGCAAGACGATGCACGCAGTGCAAAAAAACAGCACTATCCAAAAATAGTAACATTACTGGTGTCAAATACAATAATGTGCTAATTGTCACGTTTCGGTAGGCAGGTGAGCAGGGAAGCAGGCGAGAGCCAAAATGACGGGTAATCGGGGTCTTTAATCGTCAAAAGACAGACAAGTAGGGACATCTAACGGACAACACAATGACAAGTCTGGGGAAGACTGACTCAGACGAGGACTAAATACAAAAGACGGGCTAGACATAACAGGACACAGGTGATCACAATCAGGGCTGAACACGAGGTAACGAGCAATTTGTCATCAGGAGCGGACGGAGCGGATCATGACACTAATTATCTAACTTAATTATTTATGTGTGTATGAGTTTATTTATTTAGTAGATATCATTCATGCATTTTAGGGATGAGTCGTGGGTTGGTCTGGATTTCTGTTCTTTGCTTATAGAATCCACCATCCAGGCCCATGCAAATGTGACACAGCTGGCTGTCCTCTCGCTAATGAGACAACAGCTGGAAGAAGAGGACCAGCTGGGTCTCCTGCAGAGGTGTGTGGGGGCAGTAGGACTGATTAGGCGTGGCCCCAGCTTCTGTATTTATATTGACCCATTTTGTTTGCCTTCAGGACGGCTATGCACATCTGTTTACCCATATGCAAGGCTTCATTTTTATGGACCAAATCAACTTTATTAGAGTTCTCAAATAATAATAAGAGGAGCTTGGTCCTGCCTGGTCCTATATGGATCTTCACCAAAGTGACAACAGATTATTCAATGCTAAGCTTTTGGTGTGAGTGTGTGTGTGTGTCTGTGTTTGTGTGTGGATCTGGGGGGGTCAGATATACAGTACATTGTGGGCACCAAATGTCCCCATGTGATACAAACCTGTTATTTTGATGCTGTGGGGACCATTTTCTCAGTCCCCACAAGGGGAAATTCAGTTATAAAAATCTGTGATGGCAATCCAAAAACTAAAAATGCCAAAAGACTTGTATCTTGTTTCGTTACTTATGGTTAAGGTTAGGGCTGGGTAGGGATTAAGGTTGTCATGGTTGGGAATAGGGATTTGCCCATAGAAATGAATGGATGGTCCCCACAAAGTAAGAAAGCAAATCTCATACACTAAAGCAATTTGGTGTGAGAGATCACACTATAACATCATAAATATTTCATTGGTCCTCATCATTTTATAGACCAATTACTGCATTTTGTAATAATATGGAACATATTTTCATTAAAAAATATTCCAATGAATATATTTATGACCCACTATTGTTCTGCATAGTTCTCCAGCAGAATAAATAACAAGAAGTTGCTAGGCAACAGAAAATCATTTTCAGTAACACTAGTTGGAGAACCTGGACCAGAACTATACTTGTTGGCTCCCTAAATGCACTTCACTGCCTCTAGCTATCTGACAGCTTTGTTATTTATTACAATTTATTTGGAAATATCTCATAATTTTGTAATTCTAAAAATATACAATTACTCTCGACTTTATGCTGGTAGTTTCACCTTCGTACTGCATTTGGCTGGTGGAGTGTTTGTCAATGAAAATGTCAAGCCAAGAACATTTCTGTTCTTCCATCTGTAGCCAGCAGCTCCGTAGTGACTTCTCTGATGCATTCTCCTCTATGACTATAGCTCCCTTTGCCAATACTTTTGCATCTGGATGGAAGCAGATATTTGTGTACATGCTGATCTCAGCGGCTTTGTATACCCTCGTCACACATACTTTTTTTTCCCCTTAAACATTCACATGAACGCTCACTGACTGGAAATTAAATGGCTTCCATAGAGTGAGTGTGGGAAGAAGGCAGTGCCCCTCTTCTTACCTTAGTCGGAATTGCAATTATTTGGCATGTTTTCTGCTGGCGCTTTGCACCTTTGCATAAGCAGTTTGTTGGTACCCAATAGCCAGACAAAATAATAAGCTATGTAGGCATCAAATACATACAAGGCATAGACAAGACACATTTTTTGCCACCCCACCCCTGAGTGGACACATCAAACTCCGCCTATGGTCCTGGACCTTGTTGGGGTCA